GCCCTCCAAAGTTGCCATTTATTCCAAGGGAACTGATCTTTCTAGTTCAGAGATCACTTGTCATTTCAGGAGCACTCCAGGCTTCACCTAGAGGCTGGCAATCCTAGGCAGGATACAAATATAACCTATCTTAATTTGAAGCTAAATTGATTTTTGGAAGCTACATTACACACAATTTTTCCCCCATAACTAACAGATGCTTGCACAAATATGATGAAGTTGGGACAGAACAGAGGACTGGGCTGTAACTTCTATAACTGCATTCTATTTAACAGATATACTCTGTTACTGTGCTAGAATAATGTAGAACAGGATTAATTCCTAGTTCATAGAGTCTAGCTTAATTATCTCCTGATACATAAACTGTACAATTTATTTGGGAGCATCGTCTGATGAATGTCAATTAGATAGACACAATGTTTTCCAAATCTTGACTTAATGAACACAGTGCTGTCAGCTAGAAGCAGTAACGTCTGTCTCCGTTGGGTGTTTGCAGGAAGATAACAGGGTCCTGAAGGCTTTCGCTTTGAAGGAAGGAAACATAGAGATGTATAGCTCAGGTTAAAAATTAAAACTGAAAACCCTCACTTTCAGGCTTTCGTATTCTGAAGGAAAAGCAAGATTTTAATTAGTTCTGCTTGGATATGGAAGTAAAATGAAAGAAAATTCTTATCTGAAAATGCTGAATTATAGACAAGCCACAGCAAGCAGTTGTGGGCTCTGGTGCAAACATAGATGCATGCAACACGTCACCAGTGGTCCAAGTCTGCCAGTCTTGCAACACAGTTGAGGATGTGCATCCCTGGAAAGATCTATCTACCCCATACTGCTTTTTAACTTATTAGTTTTAAGCAGATTCCTAAAATATAGGAAAACCTAGATCCATTTGAATGGCTGTGAAAATCTGATCTCTGGAAAGAAGGGGCTGCACCTTCCTATTCACAGTGCAAGATAAATGGGAAGGCGTACCTGCTTCCAAACAGTGTGGACTGCATCAGGGGCTTTGCACCTGCCTGAAAAGTTCTCAGTCCAGTAAGAATCTCACAATACAAGAACTCGTGGGCACTCCATGAAACTGCAGAGCGGTCGGGTTAGAACGGATAAAAGGAAGTACTTCTTCACCCAAAGAGTGATTAACACATGGAATTCACTGCCACAGGAAGTGGTGGGTGCTACAAGCATGGACGGCTTCAAAAGGGAATTAGATAAGCATATGGAGCAGAGGTCCATCAGTGGCTATTAGCCACAAGGTATAGCTAGGGGCTCTGGGGCAAGTGATGCTCTGTCTTCTTGGTGCTTGGGGGGGGGTCAACAGTGGGAGGGCTTCTAATGTCCTGGCCCCACTGCTGGACCTCCTGATGGCACTGGTATTTCTGGCCACTGTGTGACACAGAGTGTTGGACTGGATGGGCCTTTGGCCTGATCCAACATTGGCGTCTCTTATGTTCTTATGTTCTAATCTCTCCCTCTCCCTCTGTCTATCATCTATCTATCCCTTACTGGATTGGGGTGATAGTGTATCATCACTAAAAGAGGTCTGAATATTTCTTATTCTACAAAACAAATATATTCAGGCATTAATTACAGGAGTTAATTATATGGCAAAATGGCGGGGTTTTTTGAGGAATTTCAGTTCTTTGGCATCATCCAAAAGTTTCAGCTTTTGTAGCCGGGGGATGTAATCAAAGGGATATTCTTTAGGTACTTATACATGGACATGCTAAGTGGGATTCTGATTTATTTTAAACCAGAGACCCCTAACACCCATCTGCTTTTGAAAGTCCTCTGAGGTTTTCAAAGATTTTAGGTATAGGAACAGTTGTACAACAAAATGAGCCCAAATCTTCCTTGGGGGTGTGGGTCTTTGGATTCCAGCCTGATTTTTCCCCCTGTTGAAAAGCTTTGCTGTTAGCTGGACACACCTTTGCTTTACTGTAACTATACAGTATGAATTGAGGGTTGTGTTCGAATCCCTCGCTCCTCACGAATTAATTTGCCACAGTCTAACTCCGTAGATAAAGTAGTTCCAGAAGTGGAGTTGGATGGATGAGTTTGCTTGCACTGCAGTCCATAAAAGAAACAAAAGGCCTTGGCGCATGCAGAAAGGAAAATGAAGATAAGCGTGATTAACAAAAAATTAAAATGGGAATGATACCAAACATATAGAACATAATTACAAAAAATGAAAATTGCAATGCAACTCTAAACTGAATTTTGAAGAATATGCATATTTATACTTTGACTCAGGATTGCAACATTAATTTGAATGAAGGATTTCCTATCTACATTTCTACTAAATTTTTGATAGAAAGCTGAGAAAATAAATTCCTACGAAAATATCCTTCTTTTTTTTATAATAGCTGACTAGAACAAATTTCTTGTAGAACTTAGACATTAAATTAACTCTTTAATAAAGCTTTAATAAAGCCCATTACAGTTTGCTCAGGCTGGTTATGAAATTCTCCCTATCTGAATTTTGCCCCCAGACCTTCTTTTCTAAATGACTTGATGTCTGTGAAGTGGTTCTGATGCCTTCGTGGTCTGCCACTCTTCTTGTTTTGGTTCCCAGACTCTGTTCAGACTGCTGCACATGCACAGTTGCTGTAATTTTTGGCTTGTGTCTTTTTCTCCCTTATGGGACTGCTTACCAATGCACTGATAAGAACACTGTGTAGAAGAGAATCTCGAGGTGATTCATACCTGTGCTCTGATAAAATGAGAATTGTACTATCAAGATTCCTTTTTGTGCCATGCACTATTCAGTTAATATTATGTGTTCATGTGCATTGGTAACTTGTAAGAGGGCGGGAACCCCACACTGTAAATTGCAGCATACAACACACATACCAATTCAGAAATTAAATGGAAAAATTCTCTAAATTAAACTGGAAGGCAGGCAGAGCAGAATAAGGGGAGGGGTGTGGCTTAGTGGTAGGGCTGCCAAGCCGCGGCGGGGGATCCGCACATCTTCACAGGATCCCTGCCGCGGCTTGGCAGCCCTACTTAGTGGTACAGCATCAATATTGTGCGTAGAGGATCTCATGTTCAGTCCCCAGCATCTCCAGTTAAAAGCAGTGAGTAGCAGACGATGCAAAAGACTTCTAAGGGCTGCTGATAGACAGAGCAGACCAGAGATCTCCAACAGGGTGCCCAGGGTTGCCATGGTGCCTGCCAAGTGTTCTTAGAAAGTGGGGGTGGGGCCATCTGGGGCTTTTGCCCTGAAAGGCTTCTGATTGACTCTTGGAGATCTGATTAGCTGTTCAGAATTTTTAAAAAAATGTTGCCTTGGCAGCAGCCGTAACCACACCACAAGGATTCTCCACGTGACTGAAAGTAAGCGGTGGTGGCCATTTTATGGCTGTGCCCACCATGCTGTAGGAGAATTCCAAAGGGGGCCGCAGGTCCAAAAAGGCTGGGGAGCTCTGGAGTAGATAGCACTGACCTTGGTAGGCCAGTGGTCTAACTCAGTATAAGGCAACTTAATTTAAGTTTGTATAGAGTACAACAGATCACAGAACAAAAACGGAAGAATATCTTTTCATCCCTACAATGGATGTATTTCTATCCTTCAGTATTTATAAATCAGTACGATGTCACATTTCTCATCTCAGATGCACAAGGATATGAACCATACCAACTTAAAAACAGTTATGTTCTTGTTGGTCCTACTGAAAGGAATGGGTATAAGAAGTACGTTTATCAGTTGCAAGATGGCAGGCTATGGGCAGCACCCAGCAAGCACTGCTCCTTTGCAACCTCCACACATTTCAACAGGACTGGCACAAAAGCACAGTGAAGTGAATAGGGCTTGCACAGAAACAGTGTTCTGCAGGTTGCCTTTACAGTTCAGTCCCATAGCAGAGAAGCCATTTCATAATCATCTCGTAATACTGTAATTTGCTAATTTTAAAACAATGGCCCCTGAAAGAGAGAGTAGACATTGAAAAGCCAACAGACAAACAAACAAACCACCTTTCAGAAACCGGGTTCATTGGGCTTTCTAGGAACACTGTGTATTTCAAGAAGATTATCAGTTGGGACTAGCAGCCTGACCTCATGCACAGCTGTAGCTGATGCAGGACAAGTAGAACTGCAGCAGTTTCAGCAGCCTCCTGTGTGAAACAAAGAGCTAACTAGTAGAGTGAATACCCATGCTAAGATCCCTGGGGAGCAAAGACTACTCCTGGAGGAGGGGATTCGGGCTGCTGCTCTGGCAGGTCTTCTGATGGGAGCCCAGGAGTCTCCTGGCAGCCCTATCCCAACAGCAATCCCTTCCCTTTCCAAAAACACCAACTGTGCCGTACTTTGGAGAAACTCTAGCATTCAAGCAGTGCTGTTAATGGGAATTTAGCTGTCACTGCTTTGCTGCCTGTGGAAGATCAGGTTCTAAATCAACTGATGCATCTTGTTTCCGGTAAGTGATTTTAAATCCACATCCAGTGCTCTGTATTTCTATCTTATTTCTTTCTAAGCCAGTTTAAACCCCCCCCCCACTACACCAGAAAGGCCTGTACAGTTCTATCTCATAGCCAAATCTGGACACAGTACTTATCTCTCCTCATTAACAATTACATACAAAGCAGTGCCAAAAGACCTGGCTAATGTTCGGTAGAAGAGCTTGACTCTCACAGGCACAGGTTATTCTATACATGAAATTCCCAGGAGAGCTTTTCACACTGAAACTCCATCACCTGAATTCTGCCATCATAGGTTGCAACCTAATGTGCCTGTGTGTACAAAGCATAAGCACAACATTCTGCCATTAAATCAGCCAGTGCAGCAAAACGATGTGTAGCTGATCCACACTGAATACTAGATCATCAGAACACAGCATGATCTTAACACGGCTGTCAGTGACTACCCCTGGCACACCAGGTGAGTTCTGTAGTACTTTCAGCTCAGTTACATGCTACAGAGAGGGAGGACCCTACACCAATCCCACACAAATGCCTGACTTCTCCCACTAGGTTTGTACTACACTGAACCCAAAGCAGACTTACCTGTTCAATGTCACTGTTTTTCCTTGACTTGTAAATAAATTCCCCAATGGCAACAAAGACGGAAAGAACCAGTCCTGCTGCGAGCACGATGAAGATGCCCCCGATGTTCTCCACGCCCAGGGCACTGGCCTCTTTGCTATCCTCTTCAGGGCAGCCGTTGCCTCGCCACCACTTCTCTTTCATCATGTGCAGTTTCCCTTCCTCTTGTAACTGAAGAATGGCAATGGTAATTTTGTCTCTGTAAGGAGAGCCTGAGGAGGAAAGAAAAGGGAGGAAAGTACATTTAATATGATATCCAGGTGACACAGGAAAAAGCAACAGAGTTGCCATTCTCACAGAGTTCTTTCTGTGTAGAAAACTTTGTGTGCTTAGTAACTAATTGAACTAGAGAGTGCAAAACAAATTTAGGTCCTCCAGAATGGGCTGTTTTTCTTTCTTTTTTTAATTAAAACTTTAATTTTGTATAGGACATTTAACAGCCACAGATTGTAAATAACTGAGGAAATAATGTCACTTTGTTCTGGTACAAAACAGATAAGAGACTGTACTTATTTGCTTTGTATCAGGCAAACTGATATTATCCCCAGTACACTGATAAGGAGCTGTGACTGAGCTACAGCAATTTCTTCACCCATGCTTAAGTAGTAGTCTGAAGCGAGCCATGACCTCCTGCCCACTGGATCATTCTGGTCCCACCAAAGCTTCAATTTATGTTACAGTCTGACATATGCACCTTTCTTTGACCAGGGCTCCTCACCAGAATGTGTTTCTATGGGTGATTCTGTATCTGGCATTCGCTCCACATTTTCTCAACACTGAGGAAAAGGTGCAGCTCAAAACCACATTCAAATACCCTGGAGCAATGCCGTACTGACTGTGAAGTCACCCCTGAATGGTCATAAATCTATGCAGAAAGTACCATAACATCCGATGGTCAAAGAAAGTGAAAGCAACATGCAATGCAGAGGGGAATTTCTGTTCCAAAGTGGGTTTGGTAAAACAATGGAGGGAAAAGCCAATGCAGTATCGCCCTGTGTCAGCCCTGGAAAATATAAGGCATTAAATTACAAAATTACTAGTGGTGAAGTGGTTAGAGTGTTGAACAAGGACCTGAGATGACTGAGTTCAAATCCCCCCTCTGCCATGGAAGTGCACCTTGTGCCTATCACAATCTCTCAGCTTAATCTAGCTCACAGGGTGGTGGTTGTGAGGATGAGGCAGAGGTGGGGAGAATGATGTGATGACCCATAGTGGGTTCCCAAGAATCAGAAAAGTGGAATATAAATAAAAAATAAGTATAGAATTGCCTTTGAGTGTACACAATGTGCATGTCTCTCTCCAAAGAACTACAATGGCCAAATCATAACTTGTCTCCACATGCTTGAAATTAACACAAAGGACACAGCTTAATGACCACTGCAGTTATTTTACTCTCAGACTCTCTTGTGGAGATCACTTTATGCAGGAACTCAGCATCAGGCTACAGTACGGAAGCTACACTGGTTTAAATAAGTCTCAGGTCCTCTCTCTGCCAGGAGGGCTGCTGGACTGCACTGACTGGGGCATCTTCTCTAGTCAGACTTTTGGTCCAAATGTTTTATATGCAGATGAATATTTGTCTCTTTACTTGCCTATAGCCATTACCTCTTCTTCTATCAGTGACAAGATTATCCAAACCTGAGTCATCCATCAGTTATCTTGGAGATTTGTTTTGTGTGTTTATTTTTTTTGCATGCCATGAAAATTCTGTTATCTGTGTAGTTTAAGGGCCACTCAAGATCTTGTGTTAGAGAAAGGATATAAGTCCTTGCCATTTCATAGCCACATGAGATTGCTAGATTTATATGCATATCTTCAATCATTTCCATTAGTCTTGTTCTCTTATCCAGCCTTTTGCTGTTTTTCTTAAAACATGAATTCCCAAAGCTAAACCTATACTCTAGCTACTAACAGATAAGGGGTTTAGTGCTTTCTGATCAGTAGGATGCAGAATGTGTTCTAACCTGATCACTGTATACAGGCTATGCCAATGGCAGTGCCTCAAATCTCTTATACATTCTAACTGCTAATGCATGACCCTTTGGTGGACTAAGGGCTTGCTGAGAGTCAGTTAGTGATTACTTGAAGAAATTCCTTCTATGTCAGTTAATAGCTTTTCCTGAAGAGGCAATCTACCTGCAGGGGGTGGGTTCTGAGACATTCTGCAGGTGTGACCATATGGGAAAAGAATGACCATTGCAATGTATGAATCTGGAGAATTAGACACAGAGATGGAGAGTGAACTCAGAGCTTCCAAGTGCAGGAACTGAATTACACACTACATACTGGGTGAAAGTGGCTTAGACAAGTTTGTATATGTGTAACTAAAGAAAATATTGCAAACACTTTAAGTTTCCAAATACTCCTTCTCATCTATTGAAATTAAATCCTGTATGATCTCCCTCGGAAGTTCTCAGTGCTTGAGGAAGGAAAGGGGCGACAACTAACAATTCCTGCGGATGCTATGTATTTCACCATGGACCAGCTAGACAAGAAACTTATCATGTTCAAAGATATCAGCTGGACATGAATTATATGCTTTGTGACTGATTTAATTGTTTAAACAATTGCCTGAAGAGTGAAGCAGTTATATAGCAGGGCATCAGAACTCAGTCAGTACTGTACTTCATCATTAGGAATAGGAATATAGTGAAGCAGTATGCCAACAGCTATTAATGGGTTGAACAGTTGAACTGATCATTAAAAAAATAAACTTCCTGTTTGCAACCACCAAGCAGGATGTTAATCAAACCAGCAGGTGTTCAAACATCCCTAACAATGACAGGTGCCATATAGCAGGTACCATACAGAAATATATGACTTCCCCTTTGCATTTTAAGAAGAAGCAATGGCAATACATTATGGTTGGTTCAATTAAACCAAGATTCATATATTTTTGACCAATGATACTGGACATTCTGATATAACAGTGTGAGGTCCCTGTCCCCTCCTGCTGCTGCGGAGACCCCTTGAATCTGATGCCAGGTCTTAGTTGTTTTGAAGCGCACCTCCTTGAAAGCCTAAGTGCAGTGGGGATCCCAAGAATGAGTCTAAAGAGCACACCTGGTCTGCCATGACCAAGGTAAATTCTATCATAGAGGCAGGGTGTCACTGGAATGCATAAAGCATCCCAGCGCCAAGGCATACCTAATGCAATCATATCCCTTACTCTGAGGGGTACTTCATCAAGACAACACGAACCATTTCCAGCTATAGACAGCCGGACAACCCTTAACTATTGCTAATGCAAGCCAGCCATTGATAAAGATAGCCTAACATCCCAATCCACTCAGGATGAGCCATCAAACCCATTAGTCATGCCTTATCTTTTTTCAATATGTTAAAACCATCTAACAATCGCCCTACCTTGGAGTATCAGGTATTTCCTTCCTAACCAGGTTTTAATAGCAGTTATCTTCAAACTGGCCTGTCAATTGCAGGCTATGGTCACACAGTCATTTTGATTGGGTTTCACCACTGTTCCCAATCGCATTTAAAAGGGCTAATCAGATGGCCGCATCTGTCTCTCTTATCGAAGCGGACTCACCCCCGCAATCCTCCTGGTCTCCTAGCGATTTTTCCAAAACTGGGGAAATCAAGTACTTTTCAAATATTTGCGCTGTGAATCTGCAGTTTCACCAATCTGGACAGCCATCTTTCACTATGAATGTGATTAGGTCATCTGAATGTCCTTCTTGCGCTGAATTTTTTTCCAGCCTTTGCCATTGTGCACATGATCAATCCTGCACTGAATATATTCAATGCATGAATGTTCAAACACACATATATAGCACTCGGTTGTACGTTGGTGATTCATTTTATTTGCTGTTTGTGAAAAAAAAATACTGCAAAAACAAGGGACTATAGTGCATATGGCCACGCGCATATGTACATGCACAAAGAATTTTTTTTAAAAAAAAAAACTCATGCCACGCCACTGCTTGGACAGGATGGCTATCTGGATGGTGCCCGGAGCCTCATTGCGTGATGCAGGTGGTTCAGGGAGGGATGTGTGATCATCCCAACCCGCAAAAAAATACCCCCAATCAAATATACAACAGGAACAAATTTTAGTAAGCTTCCCATGTGACCATAGCCACAAACTTCATATCTTGGACCAATCCCAACCCTGAGAAAATGAGGTCTCACATATATTTATGGGACCCTTCCCGCTAAAAAAAAAGACCACTGCACATCAATGAAAAGTGTGTCAGGTCTTCCTAGCACCTGGATACACTTGCAACCATTTCACAGGCCATGCTCATCTTGAAACTCTACTGCTTTGGACTTTGAATGCATGGGCTCCCCATAATTGGATCAGGTGGTGTCACCCCGAGTGCCCTCCCTTCCCTCTTCTTATCTTTTCTCTCTTCTTTACCCTATCCTCATAGTGGGTGTGAGTGTGTATCGGGAGGGGGAGAGTGATTTATTTGTGGTTTTAAGGGATTTGTTGTTTTGGTCTGTTCCTAGTAATGTGTTTGATTGCTGGTAAATATTTCATTTAGTTTCAATCAGTTGGTCTCTGTCCCTTTTCTCTTGAGAATGTTGCTCTGGAATAAAACCTCTGTATATACAGACAAAAGATCCCTAGTTTATCATTCTGGAGACCCCTTATCAGCTAATTCTTCCTCGGGGGATCCAGTTTGGGTAACAGCAGATGCTGAAAGACATGTCTGAATATGATCATGCCATCTGGGCAACTATAAATTTGTAGCTATTACTCTGGGAAATAAGAGGCATTTGGAAATGAGCCATTTGGTAGAAGGGAGGAAAGTGTTTTACAATAAGTTTTTAAAATTATGGCTTGCTTCTTATCAGCTAAATTTTAACAGTGCAAGAACATGATGGCTCTTTGCTTCGTGTGCGCACGCATTTGTGTCTATGTATCGAAAAGCCACTAAACTACAGACCATGTTCCCCTAATTTCATTCATTTATTTAGAAAAGTTATATGCTCCTTTTCCAGAGACTGTGGAGTGAACTCCGAATGCATTTAAAGGGACTGCAGTCCCTTTAAACACTTGAGAGTTCACTTTGAAGGCATTTAAAGATACTGAGAGCCCTTTAAATGCCCTGTAACTGCAGCTATCTGGTGGCCCTGAAAAATCCCAAATATTTTCAGGATTTTTCAGGGTCGCCATTTTCAGATAGCCAAAACACTAGTCCCCTCAGTGATCGGCTGATAAAATAAGCAATAAAATATCAATAAGGTA